CTATGAAACTGATTTTTGTAGCTAAATGACATTTTTTAACTACAAAAATATTTCGTAGTTAAAAATATTGTAGCTAATTAGAAATTTTTTTGTAATGCCATCATCCTTCACTAGGGGTAGGAGTTCTTGACCAGTAGTGGGAAGGAGCCGCAGAGAAGATGGTGAATTACCTATAACTGGAATTAGCTGAGTACGAAAAATTGTTGAACGAGGAGCGGAACTGCTGGTTGTGGAGCTTCCAGCAAATGATGGTGATCTGTTGGAAGCCATGGGTGATCGAGGAAGTTAAAGAAGGAGTTGAGTGGGTGAGATACACGGCGATATGACTTTTCAAGTAACCCTAGAGCCGTTGGTTTTCAAAAAACTAGGGGAGTTATGATTGAGAACGTGGGGAAATGAAAAGATTTGAATTGAAGTGATGTTTTCCCCTAGCCTGTGAGACCTCATATCCAAAAATATGATAAAATTATGATTTAATTTCCATCCCATTTATTAAGGGGGGCAATATGTTGGGCCATGAAAAATGAGATAAAACTTAAGTGGAAAGCCCAATTACTGGGAGTAGGCCGAAATAGACGGAAGCCCATGAAGAGAGTAAGCAACCCAAAATCTGGCCCAATGAAAAATGCTCAACTTACTACAGAAAGATTCATAGTCTTGCAGAAAACTAGTGGCGGCTGCGAAAGCTTTAATGACTATTAAGGGAGTAGGGTGTTAATTGACTTTAGAGTTATCTTGACATTAAAGATTATGAAGTTAGTCTCATTTAAATGGTGATATAAAAAAGTCATAGGAGTTTTATGAAGTTATGATTGGAAAAGGAAGGTTTTGCCGGCCATTAAATAAGCATGATGAACATATAATTGAGAGAAATAATAGCTCATTCAAGACACTAGCCGTTATAGAGAACATGCGAGTGGCATTAATGGTGGTGGATGCTATTACTATTTAAGAAAAAAAATCTCCCAACATGAATAAACTATATAAACTGCTGATGAATGATGAAGAAGAGGCTCCCGACCAACACAACAGCATTTTATCTTCACTTTTCCACTATTTTAAATTCCAGTATTTTACATTTTATGTACATTTATCCACTTTCATTACCGCTTTCCTTTTTAATTTCGTTTGTACTTTCTTTTTTAGTTTTAATGAAATTCTATTTTTAAGTCTTTTTCTTGTTTTTTCATATCAGCTAATTTTCTGATAAATCCGATTTCCACATACATGAAATAGCACTTACAGGCTTTTTGGAGTGCCCTAGGAAACCCTTGGCCATTCTCCAACCGATTTCATCAAGCCGTCGTAAAATTAAAAACATATGAATTTTCGTATACAATAAACAAAAATTCATTCATACCGAGGGTTGTTATTGTAGACAAAAAAACTCATGTTAATTTCATAAACACAAAAATTATACAAATTATATCTAATTTGAATTTAAAGCATGTCCTATATCTAAACAGGTCATATGATTATTTTTCTTGGTCGATTTTTTTTTTCAACTCGGCTTTGAAGGCTTCTTTGAAGGCTTTTTTGGATTTCATCTTTAATCCGGCATTTTTTTATGGATTGATCTTTAATTTTACTTTTTCCGGCTCTTTTAAGATTTTGGTCTCTGTGCGGACGATTTTGATCTTCGTCTTTGAGTTTGAAGACCCCTTTGGTGGATTTAGAGCTTTGATTTTTCACGAGGTGGATTTGGTGCTCCATAATATTTTTTGACAGTGTGTCCCTTTGACTTTTGGATCGATGAGGGCCGGCTTGATAATTTGGTGAAGACCACGACAAACTTATTGAAGCTCTAGGATGAACTTTGGAGGCTAGTCCTTGGCTTTGACAGATTCTTCAACTACTTTTGGAGCTTTTATTTTTTTCTCCGGCTTGAACATACGAAAATAAACATTAACTTCATCGATTTGTCAATCAATATTGGATCTTTTGTCTAAATCGATAATTTTTCAACGAAGAACACAAAGAACAATGCAGGAAGTCTAGAGAAACTTACCATTGCTTATGTCTTCGAATGAACTCCAATGTCAAATGAATTGATCAAGATCCCTATTTATAGGGGAGGGGTAGCGTCGGTTTTCTTTCCGGGCGAGGTCCCATGGCGCATTCAATTGGCCGACGGAAAAATTTTGTAATTTTTTTTTCATCGGATGTTGTTTTTCATTCTTAAATGATTTGTTTATGCTTCTTCTTTTGTCCTCAAGATCTTTATACTGTTTTCTTTTTTTAGAAAATATTAATTATAATACTTCATTTATTGACAAAATTTATTTTATTTGTTGTTAAATTTATTATGACTTTGTATATACACACATAATATTTGTACAATATCTTTTATTTTCAACAAATTTTTGTATTAATAGTTAATATTGATTGTAGAAAAATTAGCATATGTGTATAATTAAATATATGAATTTTATTTTTTTCAATATATATAATATTTAATTTAATTTTAATGCCTACTGATATTATTATTATTATTATTATTTTAATGCCTACTGATATTATTATTATTATTATTATTTTAATGCCTACCTGTCAATATATGTTCTGAAAAATGCAATTCAACATATTCATTCCCAATTTTTATTTATCGTAAAAATTTACAGCCGCTACATTTCAATTGCGCTATAAGTTGATTCTGAATGATTGATTTGCAAACAAAAACAAATCATGATGACCAATTTTGGAGCTGAATCCCGATGTACATATGATCGTTACAATGTTATGGCCAAACCACGGCTCGTGCAAAGCCAACTAATATTCCTATATATATGTTCATTCCAAACAATTAACTGTTCATAACTAACCGAAAGCATTGATAGCTCTATATATGTTCATATATGACAGAATGTTCAATCTTAAATTTTTTGTATTTAAAACAGAGTTATTTGGTACTTCTGGCTGAACAACGACTTCATTAAAGCTAATTTATGGCCGTATGCAGTTGTCTTCCTACTTACGAGATTTGACCAAAATTATTCATTCTGCAGGTAGGGTTCAAAATTATGGTTTCAGTTCAAAAAATTTAAAATATTGTTCAAAAGTCACCAAAATCATTTAAATTTTTGGTGAATACTATTTGCAAACCGTGCAAGTATTAATGCTAGCTCATCAACCACAAATGAGTTAGCAACTCGTGGGAGCAACTATCATCGATTTATTAATTTTCATTAACTAGACGATATATACTAAGTGATAGCATTTTTTTTTTTTCTTTTTTCAATGATGTGAAACCGGAAGCTGCTACTTTCGAAGTGTGTTTTGTGTAAACTTTTGGTCAAAATTGTTGGTTGATTCCTTAGTTTCTAGTCAAAGAATGCAAGGAAATATCGGTTTTTTTTTTTTTTAATTTACTTATTTCTATTGAAATCATGTTTATAAAAATATTTTTAGAATGCAACCACCATGATTTTATGTGAAAATATATACTTCATCGATCTAGTAAAAATAGTCCATTTGAGTCTGATATAAAGATTAAGAAAAATAATTTTTTATTGAAAATAATTATAAAAGTAATAATATAATTTGTAATATTTTTAAAAATTTAGTTAATAATTAATAGTGATAAATAAATATCATGCCAAGTAAATATTGAATGTATGATAATAATTAAATATTAAAATTTTAACTTTATCAAAATTATTAATTAGCGAAATTTAAAAAATAGCCTCAAAATAAAACTAAAAATTAAATTTGAGGAACGGGAAATTATTTTCTTTTTTTAATACATGCATCGCATATAACTTACTATTTAAATAAAAAATTGAAACGAATAAATAAATAGAATCAAACCCCAAAATTACACGCTCATAAATATATTTTCACTAAAATCTATCCAATATACTTGTTTGCAAAAAAATAAAATAAAAATTAAGATATATGGATTATAAAAATCATAATTCATGGTAAGATTCTACATTTAACTTTTCTTTTCACTTTTCTTTTATACTATTCAACTCTCATAATTTTTTATAAAAATATTGTCAAAACTCAAATACAAAATTTAAAAATATATATTTTATATTAATATAATATTTAAATCAAAACTTAAATATAAAAAATTAATAAAAAAGTAGCATATGTAAATTTAACATATTACACAATTAGGATTAGCACTTCAATAAATAAACAAAAAATAGTTATTTTGTTGTTTTAAAGTTTTGCATAGTATTATGTGTTTATTATCAAAAACAAGCATATGTTAAACGTTGATTTAATATATTGAATTAAAAAATTATATTATGTTTAATCAATAACATCACAACAATAATGAGAACGATAATGAGGACGTTATATTAGATGTTGGTGGGCTCTTCCCGTTTATAGATAAATAAATTAATTATGCATAACAGTAGTCCACCCCTTACACGTAAATAGTGTGTTAATGGACTCTCGATTATAGATAAATAAATTATGCGTAATAGTCCACCCCTTCCATGTGAGTGGCATGTTGGTAAACTCCGTTTGCAGATAAATAAATAAATAATATGTACACCTAACAGTTAAACATTTTAGATGAGACGGTCAATTTATATCATCTAACATTAGCAAATATAAAGGCAAAAATAGGTTAATTTCACATGACAACAATTAAATATATATATATATATATAATGAAATTTTGTTTAAGTATATACATTAGTAAACATTTACATGATTGAATAATTTCCAAAAATAAGAAGCAAGAATCATGTGATAGAGTGGGAATTACAAATATCCCATCACATAGAAAACATTGAGTGCAACATGTCCAAGGTTGTCATAATTTGAGGAAATTGAAAACCATGCTCATCATAAAATACATGCAAACACTCCATTGAATTTGCTTGGACAATTGTATCCCTCATCAACCCACCCACCCCACCCACCCCATCATTTCAATGGACAAAATCTGTAAATGGATGACCATTCAAACCGGGCCGAAGTGTAAGGTCTCACTTATAAATAATATCGTCTCAATCCTCATTGTTAGGGTTTGCCTCTCACAGACTAACATAGTCCCTCTCTCTTTCTCTCTCTCTCTCTCTGTCTTCTCTTCTCTTTTCTTCAAACAACCAAAGAATAGTTAATTAAGATCTCAAGTGATGATGGCCGCAGAAGCATCCGGAGACCCGAGGAATAATTCATCGTCTTCCTCTTCATCCTCCTCGTCGGGTGCGAAAAGCAAGAATTTGCTAAAGAAAGGTCCATGGACGACGGCGGAGGACATGATCCTTGTGGAGTATGTGAAGAGGCACGGCGAGGGCAACTGGAACGCCGTCCAACGCAACTCCGGGCTCATGAGATGTGGGAAGAGTTGTCGCCTCCGATGGGCTAACCATCTTAGGCCTAATCTCAAAAAGGGCGCCTTTTCCATCGAGGAAGAGAACCTCATCGTTGAGCTCCACGCTAAGCTCGGCAACAAATGGGCTCGCATGGCCGCTCAGGTTAGCTTAAACTTTTCTTCATCCTCCTTCTATATTCTAAGATTTTGATATCTGATTACTGAAGATTTCTGCCACCATATATAAAATCACTCTAAATTGCCTCTGTGATGATATCTATGGTTCTTTTAGACTTAATTACAAGTGGTAAAAACTATCTTGACTTTTAATTTGGATACTTAACTCGAGCAAGCTTGCTTTGATGATTTCTATCCATTTTCTAGTTTATTACCTATCTCCGAATATCTTATACAAAATCGATTAGATATGTTTCTATCTATTCACTTGTGATATAATAGAACCCGAAAATTTAATTTTGAATTGTCAACAGCTTCCGGGGAGAACTGACAACGAAATCAAAAACTACTGGAATACAAGGCTGAAGCGTCGCCAGCGTGCGGGATTACCAATTTACCCTGAAGAAGTAGTCCCGCAGCAGCAGGCATTGATGAACTCGTCATCACCTCTTTTATCCTCTGGATCTCCGAATCCGATCCCTTTGCCCTTCAACAGTCCTCAGATGAAGAACTATCCGACAGCATCAGACTGGACACCTTTCCTTAAACAGTGTGTGGCTGAAGATCCAATATTGCCGATGAATCCTTTTCCGGAGTATAATATTAGTCCATTGAAGTATGGTCTTGCAGGGATGCCTTCGAGCGAGTTAGCAGCGGCGACTTCAAGCGAGGTTGAATTAGGGTTTCAGCGGACGGGGTTGTTGGGGGATTTGTTCTGCGAATACAAGGCTTTGTCTCGCCGGAGAAAGCCATTGATTAATGCTGCTGCGGTTGGGAAGTATGATGGTCATCAAAACGGTGGCGTTTGCAGTGTGAACGAGAAAGAGAATGGAAGCGCCAGTGAGGATTGTCGAGGTATGGCAATTACTCGTTTGTTTGGTTGCACCAAAATTAGGGTTTGTCTTTTTCTGGTAACATTTACTTTCTCAACCACATAGGGACTACTATTCTCTCTCTCTCTCTCTCTCTCTCTCTATACAAGTATATATATATATATATATGCACCTTTACATCAAATTTCATCCGAATTTGGAATAATTAGGGGCATAACTAAACATGCATTTTTAGAATCAGATATTTAATTTCTGATGGTGTTGAGATAGTTTTTTGATTAATTAAAATGTTCCGAACATGATTTTTTTTTTTTTATTATTGATTGATTGATTGTATTGGGTTGTGTTGTGTTGTGTTGGTGGACAAATAAAATTAAATTAAAGGCGATGAACTTGGGAAAGCGAAGAGTTGTGGAGATGGCATGGAAGATGAGTTATTGAGCCAGCTTCTGGACAATTTTCCATTATCAGTACCGATTCCTGAATGGAATGATGGACAAGAATCGGTCATGGTCAATGGTACAAGCGGCACAATGCAAAGTAGTCAGCCAGTAGCTGATGACGCTTCGAGTTCGAGGTACAAGTCGGAGACTACCGCAGCAGCTGAGAGCACCAGCACCAGCACCATTAATATTAATGCTTCATGCCTTTGGAACAACATGCCTATCATCTACTGAACTTTTACATTCATGTTCTAGAAATTAACTAATTAAGCTAGCTATTTCGATTTAAGAACATAATATATATATATATATACATGTTTGTGGAATTCGCTATTTGAATCAGCTAGCGCAGCTCTCTGAATTTTAATTTATTTGTAAGATACTACTATTTAGCTTGTTTTAGAATCTAATAAATTACTAGTTTTTCTGCCATAGAATCTATATATGCATGATTATGGATGACTTTTTCATTTCAAACTCTCAAAGCATGATTCACTTCAAAACTAAATATTTGGAATATTTATTCAGTATATGTCGTCTACTATTTCTTCTTTTTTGGTTCAACATAGTTTAGTGTTTATTTTGTTTCTATGGTATAAAAATCCTGAAACTAGTAAGGAAAATGATATTTTGTGTACTTTTTATTGTTATATGTATAATACTGTGTATTATATTTTTTGCTTTTTTAGGTTATATTTATAAAGAATTGTGTAAATTAAATATCAAGTGAACAGTACACATAAGTTTTTTTTTTTTTCAATATTCATGAGATAGTTTCCTTTTTCTACTTTTTTTTTTTTTTTTTTTTTTTTTTTAGTTATGACTAGGTTAATGAGATTTGAGTACTATTTTTTGAAAATAAAAAAGGATTAGATATTGTACATGCAATATGATACAACTTACAATTTTAAATTATATATGTGACAAAAATTTGATCATTGTAGTAACATATTCTTTATTAAAAACTCTAGTGTTTAATGTGTGGAACTCCTGAAGACAATCTTAATTTATTGTGTTTGGATTGCTTTATCATTTTAGTTGATTTAATTGTGGAGTTGTATGTATATATATATATATATATATATGTAAAAATATTTTAATTAGTTACATTCCTAGCTATGATGAATCGTCTTTCCTAGTTGTCAGCATGTAAGAGGGTTCATGCATCCCATGCTAGCCTTTCCCCTCAATATTTTTGTTCATAATTATTAACTAACAATTAAAATAACAAAAGGAATAACACATTATAATTTAATTACTTATTTATTATTCAATTTCTCTAAATTATCTTAAAAAAAAAAAACAAAAAATTTACTTCCTCCGTTCGCCTCTAAGGTCACATTTACCTTTTACGTCATTGTATTTAATATTAAAAATATCTTTATATTTGTATAATTTTTTGTACAATTATCCTTCTATTAGTATTATAAAACACTAGTGAAATATTTTGGCAATTTTTTAGTATATTTTGATATAATAATTAATATTAAAAAATAATACGCAAAAAATAAATAGACCCTTAGAGCCAGGTAGTATTATATATATGTTACGTATGAAATTTAGAATTAGGTTAAAAAGCCCAAGGTAAAAGAAAAATGGGCCTGGCAATAGAGTTGATTGAACTGGCTGAAGGACACCGTGGGGAACTCAAGGAAAATAGGTTTATTTCTAAGGAAAATACAGGTCGGGAGGTCCTCAGGACGGAAAGACCTCAGGTCGGAAGGTCCTCAGGTCGGGAGGTCCTCAAGACGGAAAGTCATCAGGACGGGAAGTCCGCAGGTCGGGAGGTCCTCAGGTCGGAAAGTCTGCAGGTCGAAAAGTCCTCAGGACGGAAAGTCCTCAGGTCGGACAGGTCGGGAGGTCCTCAGGTCGGGACTCTGCGGCTGGACCAACAAGTCGGATGGTCTGTTAGTCGGGAGGTTTGTAGCTGAACCAAACAAGTCAGATGGTTTGCAAGTCGGGAGGATTGGCAGTCGGACCAATACGGTTGTAGATTGGCAGTCGGGCCAAAAGGGCGGAAGGTCTGTGGTCGGCTCAAAGAGTGAAATATAGTGACAATTTTGGTCCGCTGAGGACACGTGTCAGCAGGAGAAGGGTTGGAAGACGGTTGGAAAGGAGACGTTGTAACCGTTCGGGCGACGGTTTTCAGTACAGTTTCCCAGGGAATATTTAAGGGTTTGGATCATCATTTGGCAAGGCATCTTCAATCAACTTCTCAACAAAGCAAAGTCAGATTTGGGGATCACCACTTTAAATTTCAGTCTTTTATTTTCCAGTTTATTTTCTGTACCATACAGTGTTTAGAGATTCCTAATCTCAGGCACTAATTAATCAAGTTTAAGGATATTTTCTATATCTTTGAATTTTACTTTATTTTTGTTGAAAAATTACATCAACAAATTGGTGACCACAGTGGGAGCAAGACAAAATTGCTCATTCCAATTCCGGCGATAATTTCATACGTCTTAGATCCGGCCGTATCATCGGAAGGGTCCATATGGAAGGTTCACAACCTCAATCATCTTCGGCACCGGCGGGAGAATCCGTTCCACCACCTATTGTGCCAAATGCTGGGGAAATCCCACAACCACCAACTGATTGGAGGTCTTATGTTCAACAAATGAACAACCAGCAAACTTTGGTTATGCAGAACATGTTGCGTGAGCAACAGAATCTGATGCAGAACATGTTAGATCAAGCACTGTCAAGGGTTAGTCTTCAACCCACTCAAACTCCACCAGGAGTATCACCATCCAGACTACAGGCAAATTTCGCAGGGCCATCATTCGTGGATAGTGCATTTCCAAGTGCCACAAATCCCAACCGAACGGATAGGGGAAAATCTCCTCTGACTTTTCCCAACACTGTTCCGCTGGGACCAAGGGTTTCCAGTCCGCAGCCGAACAATACAAGGGAGGACAGGCCTGGAGGATATATACATGATCCTATTCATATTCCTGTGCAGGATCCTTTCCATGTTCCTGATCATCAACGCTTTCATGTAGATCCTGATGAGATTGCACATATATTAAGGGATCAGTTTGGGCTAACTCCTCAGATGGCTAACTGCCCTGCATATCAGAGACCTTTCCCAGAAAGGATCATTAATGAACACCCTATCCCAAGGCATTATCGACCACCCGATTTTCATGCATTCTCAGGGGAGGACGGATCTTCCACCATAGAACATGTTGGTCGGTTCACAGCACAATTGGGAGAAGTTGGTAATAACCCTTTTTATAAGTTGCAACTGTTTGGTTTATCTCTTACTAGAACAGCGTTTTCGTGGTTTGCAAGTCTGCCTCCTGGACAAATTCAGACGTGGGAAGGACTGGAGATGGCATTTCATGCCAGATTCTTCAATCCTTTACCGATTGTTTCTTTAACTGATTTACTAGAATTGAGACAGTATCCAGAAGAATCTGCTTCACAGTTTATAGAAAGGGTACGATTGATGAAAGGGCGATGTCCTACGGTAATCAGTGAGAAAGAGATGACCAATTTAGTGGTCCGGAATATGCATACTCGCTTAAGAAAGGCACTCACTGGACGTTGAGGATTTGGAAAGTCTTGCATCTAAGGCTGGACGTTTAGAGTCTTTGTTCAGAGAGGAAGATCAGAATAACAGGCGTAATAGAGGCCAACATATGGCGAGTATGGGAACAGAAACATGTGACTTTGATTTTAATCAGTCAGAAGAGATGGCAGCCGAAATCCTTTCTGGAAAACCTTATGTATGCCCCAAATTGAAGCCAGTACCAGGATCTGAAGGAAAGGATCAACCGACGTTTGATAGTTCGAAAGCTGACGAAATCTTTGATATCCTGTTGACTGATGGCCAGATCCGTATTCCAAAGGGGCAAAGATTGGCCACTAAAGAAGAAATCAAAGGGAGACCATACTGTAAGTGGCATAATTCTTTCACACACAATACAAGTCAGTGTACTCATTTCAGGAAGGAAATTCAAAAAGCCATCAAGACAGGTCGGCTCAAGTACATCACTTTAGGTGTAGACCAACAACCGTTTCCGAAAGTAACAACGGCAATGGTTGACATCCAACCAAGTGCGGAAACAGAAAAAAATTCGGCCAATAGTGGACAAAAAGGGGAACGAACTCAGGCAAGCCCCGGAACAAAAAAAGGAAGTCAGCCAAACAGTGGCCGACCGGAAGAAAGACTCAAAGTTTGTGAAAAGCCAGTCGCTGAAAAATGGGACCATCCAGACGGTTCTTTTAATGTGGAGGTGAAAGAAAAGGTTTTAGTGCGTGACCACCCGACCAGAAAAACAGGGTCAGTCGGAAACAATTGGGCTCGAAATAAAAAGCCTTTACCAGTTGATATAGATCCTCGTTTCCCAGGTATGAATCGTACACAGATTCGTAATGCCAAACGCAGGTATGCTGCGAAGTATGGGAAACGAGTTCCTTCAGCAAAACAACCAACCGACGAACAAAAAGCAGCCGACCATTCGGCAGGAGATCAGTCCATTAGAGTCTTTTCAACAGAACAAACAACCAACGAGCAGGGAGCAGCCATTCAATCTCCAAAAAATCGGTCCATTCGGGTCTGTTCAAGAAAGCAACCGAACGACGGATTAGGCGTTTCGGAGTATACCAAAGGAAGTTCGTCGGGACAGGGGAAAGGTAAAGGCATATCAGATGAAATAATTAGAGGTTTTAGATGCCAACATTGTGAACGGATCAACATCAATCCATCTCCTGAAGAATTCCGTATAGAATCTTTGACGGTTCAATCTCGGAATAAGACAAAGGAAGAAGTTGTAACTACAGAGGAAAATTCGAGATCTGTTAAATCTCGTCTAGGGCCACGAATCCCTTGTCGAATGACAGAGATTAATCAGATGAGAGATGAACCGATGTGGGCGAGTCTGGTAGATGATCCTACGGACGAACCTTTATGGGCATTCTTGGCAGATGACGAATTGGAGGAAACAGAGTGGGCAAAGGCTTCAGATCCCGAGTCTCAGTCGGAGACACCTTCGATAGTGTTTCCTCCTATTCCAGAGGGTGCGATCTCCCATTTGAAACCTCTGTATGTTAATGCTCACATTTGCGGGAAACCAATCAAAAAGGTTTTTGTGGATAATGGAGCAGTCTTTAATGTTATGCCATTGAAGACTCTCAAGAAGCTAGGGAAAGGAATTCATGATCTGTCTCATGTGGAATTCGAAATGACAAGCTTTACAGGGCAGCCGACCAAGCCTGAAGGTATGATGGTTGCCACAATTGAAGTCGGACCAAAAAAGATCTCCACTGTTTTCTTTATTGTGGATGCAGATACTACATACTCTCTCTTGCTGGGAAGAGACTGGATTCATGCCTCTCAATGTGTGCCATCAACACTGCACCAACAATTAATGTTCTGGGAAGGAAATC